TATTTACTTTATGGCCGTTCCAATCAACTTCATACGTTCTATTTTGCCATTTGTTCTATGGTTTCTAGGTTGCCAATAAGGGTGGGGTGTGGGTGTGATTAGAGAGGAGATTAGCACCCACCCACACCCACACCCGCCAACACCCACACCCACACCCACACTCACACCCACACTCACACATACACCCCACACCAACACCCTCTGAATTGCGTGATTTTTTATAGGCAAAACAACGATGGTTATTAAGAGAAGTGAATATTCCAGCATGAAATATTTGATTGTTTTTCTTCTTTAATTATTATTTATTTCATTAATTTAGATTGAACCACAAATTGAATATAATTTCGAAAAGTTTTTACCTGATAAAATTTCTAATATTTTTCAATGTAATATAGACAAATCAAATATTAATATTAATCGAATTGAATATCGACAAATTGATTATCAATTTTTATCTAAAAATGTTCTTTTTAATCAATTTTTTTCATTATTCCATTTTTCGTGATCTTTATCTAACTTATATTGATCAATTAATGATTTATAATTCATCTGATATACTTAGTGAATATATAAAAATGCAGAAATTAATTATTTAACTAAAACAGTTTATGAAATTTATTCGATGATGCTTGATATTCAACCAGAACAACAGGATATTGAAGATAGTTCAAGTAGAGTACGTAAGGAGAAATCGTGTGAATCTTATCTAACTGATTTTATTCATAGGAAAGTAATTACTTTGAAAGCAACATAATAATCGAAGGAATATAGAAAAGCCTAATTCTATTGTGAAAATAAAGAATAGATTGGAATCAAAAATTTTAGAGACTTAACATGAATATTTGCTTTGTATTAGTATGGAGTGTTCGCTGGATTGATCAAATTATTCAATTCTATTTTGAGCAGCATTTATGAAAGATATTCGTTGAATTGTTGATATAACATCGATATTTTTTCAGTACTTAACCGTTTCTAGAACTAACCAAGTACTCAATCGGCTCTTCAATGAATGGATTTGAGTAACGGCTTGTTAAGACATCTTTCAGCAGACTACTCGACTAAGTATCTATGACAAATTGGTACGAGAGGACTTTCGAATATTCTGCTTGAATTGCTTCATGAGGGAACCTCACCCAATCATAAAATGCTTTTGAAACAAGGCTTGTGTCATGGAATGTATAATAATTCGTACCTTAGTAGCTTTCTTTCTGAGTTTTGATCTACTTCATAATTTGCTATAGAAAGTTTCATGTCATCATTTCGACCTAAATCTTTGTTCATCAAGAAATCATATGAACGTCGCAATCATATAAAAAAAAGTGTTAGCTACGATACAATTTTTATAACTGAAACTATCGGCATAAGATACGATTGATAAGATATCTTCATGGATAAAATTTAAGGTTAAAATGATGACATTCTCTGTACACTAGACGAGAAACTCATTAAAGTGGCTCTAGTTAGAAAAGAAACTAATAAACATACGAATCATCATAAGTTTTTATCTAAACTTCCCCGTAATAGAAGCCCCGGGGCTTCTAAACTGATCGAGCATTCAAAATTTTTAGAAGATACTTCTATTTAGGAGGCTACTATTACGACTTTCGTACAAAAATTTTCAAAAAAAAAAGTAGAATTTGAGTTTTGATGCTTTTGCCTTCTTAATTACGGTAGTATGTGTGAATTTGAAAAGAATTCCTTGATAGATTAAGGATATGAGTGTGGATGTGGGATGTGAGTGTAGGTGATTGCCAGTGAAGTGAAGATTCACACCCATACCCACCCGCTCCGAAATGTTGGTCGTCTCGAAAGTTTATGTTCAATGATGAAACTTAGACGCCGCCAGGGAGATTTCTTAATTAGTGAAGGCAAAATCAATGCTAACATATAATTCGGACAGCGGAATTAGCTGTTACTTAGGGTTAACCAAACGTTCTGATTACATTAAATAAAAATATAAAGATAAGGAGATATTTTTAATGTTATTTTGTCAAATGTCCAGGATAGCTGGCATTATTATTTATATCAAGTTCAATCCTTTCGAACAATTTATTAAAAGTTTTTTTGAACTCTTTTCCTAAAAAAGTTTTAGCGACCTTGGAAACCACGTGAGCTAATTATGTTTCATTTGTTTTAAAATTTAGCGAAATTTTGTTTGATCATATCAGTTACGTTTTAGCTCTACTAGTGACCAGATATGGATTTATTTTAGATAGGTTACTTATAAGTGATCTGATGCTGGTTGGCTTATTGAAGATGAATTGTCAAAGACTATTGTTCACGCAGACAGATTTAAACCAAAACTTTCTTTCATATATTCTTTAAATGAAATAGTCCTAGGTGTATATAAAGGCAAGACTGTAGGTCACAAGTATTATAATGCAAATTGTCTGAAGCCTTTTGTTTAAGTAATATGGAAACAAACAGAGACATCAGGTTCAAAATGTACAAAATCGCTTGGCAGTCATCGTTGACTTCATACTCATCCAATCTTATTAATTATCTAACAAAAGAAGGTATCAATATAAGGTCGTATCCACCATATTCGCCATACCTAATACTACATAATCTTTCCTTAAGTGATTCTATTGAACGGCATTTAATTGATTAAATAAATGAAATATGATGTGCTCATGTGGTTTCCGAGGTCGCTAAAGTTTTTTAGGGTGTGGGGTGTGATTGTGGGTGTTCCTTCTCACACCCACACACCCGCATTACTATGCCAATGGAGAGAAATATACAGGTGATTGAGTTGACGACAGGGAAGCAGGGCAAGGTGTTTACACGTGGCCCAATGGAAATCGATACGAGAAGGACTATTCACAAATCTGTTCTCCTCATCTATTGTGATCGTCGATGTATTAGAAAAGATAGTTGATACAACCTATGAACAATTGATGGGAGAATTCAAGGATGAAAAAGGGAACAGAAAAGGCAGGTTTTACTATGCCAATGGAGAGAAGTATACAGGTGATTGAGTTGATGACAGAGAAACAGGACAAGGCATTTACACATGGCCCAATGGCGATCGATACGAGAAAGTGTATTCACAAATTTCTTCTCCTGGTTTATTGTAATGGTTGCCATAGAAGAAAGCATAATTGACTCAATCGGTGAACAACCCATGGGAGAATTCAAGGATAAAAAAGGAACGGAAAAGACGTGTTTTACTATGCCAACGGTAAAGTTCAAAAAGGGATGTGGTCAAATGATACCTTCATGGAATGATCTCATCGCTATTCCTTTATCACGTAAGATGCATGTAACTGCCAACTATAATTGTCTACGTTGACAATGAACAAAGTATGTAAGAGGTATATGAGAACGACAAATCACTTTTGTGATGTATTTAAAATAATCAATAAATCGAAAACTAGTTTTTGAAATTCTAGTGTTCTACTGAACAATGTAATAAGTACTGTTGTCATGAGTCTAAAGGTCTTGAATGAGCTCCGAAAAGTAGATGCATTAGAGAACAGGACGTAGACGATGAAAGACGTTCAAGTGTATGTCCAGCAATATGAGAGAGTATGGTTAACGAGAGTGTCGGTATATAAATGAATGGAGTATTGTGGGGAAGATTGATTTAAAAGAAATTTCTCCCCTCGAATACATCGCCACAAGCCACACCTCACAGCTACACGTGCAACCACTATTACTCACTCGCACTTACATAGTCCTGCTCATGAAAGTCAATATGAGGTATTCAAAAAGAGTTTTTTTGTCGCACGAAAAAAAGAAGAAAAGTAACGAGTAATTCGGGTTGAATGAACCTGTTTTATTCACTCTTTTCGTGGTGGAGAATAATCAGGCGGGGCCATGGCTGTTACCGTCTACAATACGGATCAGACGACGAGTCGCCGCCAACTGATTATCGATAAGTGTACATTGCATGATTGTGAACCAGCGTGGAGCGAGGCTTTCACATTGAGCGGTAATATCGAACAATTTGAAGTAACCAATAATCGAGTCTGCAATATGAATCAATATCGGTATCGACTTTATTCGTGTGTGTCTTAATAATTTCTGTCACAGTTTAAATAGAAACTCGATTGTTTTTTTTTGCTGAATAGTCAGCGAGAATTGGGTAGGTATTCTCGGGGCTCGGTCAGGCCGATGTACCAACAATACCGTGTGAAACATCCATGCAATTTATGTCAACAGTGCGGCGGGCATCTATGTCGATAGAGGATCAAAGATCACCGTGGAACTGAACGAAGTACATCATTCAGATATGGGAACAGAGATTGGGGCCGAAAGCAAGGATCGCATAGCAACAAAGATGATTGTCCGAAACAACTACCTACGTTATAGTGATAATTGGGACCTAGTTTTTGGTGGATACGATGTCAAGTAAGCATTCTATTTTAACTGTTGCAGGATGGAAAGATGTGTCATATTTTACAGCCGTGGTCACGTAACTAACAGTTTGTTCGAAGATAATCAACTTGAAGAAAATGATGTCAAGCGTACGGGTGGCGGAGAAATCTCTGTTTCCTTTGCTCTGGAAACACAGTTCAGCACAACATGGGTATGGGTATGGGTGTGCGGTGTGGATATGGGTGTCTGGATTTGACCCTTCTTTTTTCGAAACCCACACCCTACTTTTGCGACCACTGCTTTACAGATTCACTATTGTATGAAAAATGAGTTAACATAAGCAATATGAGAGACTTTGTTGATCAAAATTTCAATTCAACACAGTTCTTCGAGAGTCAGTAACAATGTATGAGATTATCTTTATAATTGAGGAAAAATTATTTTTTTCCTACAGTTCCAATTAAGTACTTTTTAAATTTTCAAAAATTTCTATTCGAATTCAAATTAACCAATTCCTATTTGACAAACATATTTATATTGAGTATTGTATAATTTGTTTTGTAATAAAGTTGTATGTATAGAAATATGACTCTATGAAGTTAAAAAAATTGATCTTTTATTTTTAAACAATTTTTATTGATCTTTGAATATGAAAAATATTTTTTATTTATTGTTTATATCTATTGTACACGTTTGTAAAGTTTATGCACTTTTGCTTTTCCACACTCGGAAATCTTAAAAGAAGATATATATTATATTTAAAATATTTTGTAAGTATCTTACAATTTGAAGTTGATCATTTTCATCTACCCAACGTGTTATCATTGATTCTTTATTATTTTGATTTAGCATCTTTTGAATCCATTTACCATCTTCAAATCGAACAATTCCCTAAAATAATTAAATATTGGTCAAATTCATTAGTACAATCAAATATATTCACTTTAATTTGACGTCCATCGGGTGTAGTTTCTTCGTATTCAACGTCTGGTGTAAATTCCAGTGTTATTATTTTAAAAATAGTTTTCGTGCAAAGAATCCATTTTCCATCTTTTTCACTAATAATTAATTGTGGTTTAAGACCTTTAGCCATCATACGTCCCATCATTCCAACACCAAGTTCCTTTAAATAATCGTCATTATTATCACCATCGACCTTTAAATTATACAAAAATATTTCTTATTATTACATTGTTCTTAAATTGTGTTATATGCATACATAATCCCAGGTGCCTTTCAGAATTTCAATATTGTTGCTCATAGTCATTGATCAGACGACAAAATAAATGACAATAACAAAAAAAAAACAATTCTATTTCACATAAAAGACATGCAACAGAGCCGAACTTATGCAAATATAAAAATAAAAAGTAAATAAATAAAGTCATAATACGACGTATATTCATCTTATATTATATTTACATTATAAAATAAATTATTAATTCATATTTTTAAAAATTTAATATATTTAAAGATGAAATGAATTATCTTTTATTAAACAAATAATTTATATTGTGGATTTAATTCTATCATTTTTGAGTATTTTCATGATTTTATTTTTAAGAAAAATTTATTATAAAAAGTATTTCTTTTATATTCATAAATAAAAATATTTTCTGATGTGAAAGATTGCTTCTGTGAAATAACATATATCAAATTATACTCTCAAATAAAAAATCCAAAGAGTATTATCAATAGATTTTATTAAAATAAAATCGAATAATATTTTAGTTTATCATAGATTTTATTTTTTATTCTTATTACCTACAATATTTAATTAATAATCAACGAATTTATTTTCAATGTTATTAACTTTAGAAAAGTAAACAATGATTTATGTCGACCTCAATCTCAATAATGTATCACTGTTGATCTAAGTTGTGTGAGACAGATGAAATCTCGCCTTCTAAAAGTGTGCAACATATTAAATTTCATTCAATTGTCTATATAACTATTTTAAGTGAAAAATTTCTTACTAAATACGATATGCATATCTTCACCTTGACTGATTTGTGTGATTTTATATTGCATTTCTAAGTGTATGAAGTATATCTCATGAAAAATCAAAGAGAAAATATATTGATGATTTGTATGACGCATATTTGTATTTGTGTTCTCCATTATTTTTAGTAACCATTTTCATAGTCATTATATAAGAAAAGAAAAAAAAGAACGTATTACCACACGATATATACAACCTCTTACCTTCATTAATATGTATAATTACGTTATATCTATAAGTATATATTGCGTATCTTAGGAAAAAATTAGAAAATAAAAAATATTTTGGTATCTTTATACATCAAATATTTTTATATTACGTTTTCGTTGAGTTTAATAGATGATTTCATAGTAAACAAACAAAAAAGAATGAACAGAAACATATTCGATGAATAAATAATGCAGTGGGAAATGATAATTAGAATTAATAATTACAAATAAATATATAAAAATGTATTGAAAAAATCTATCGACTATATATTACATATCAAAATGATAAAATATAAGATTCAAATTGGATATTTATGATTGAATACAATCTATTTGAGATCATAACAATATTTTTTTATCTATTCATAGATCTCAAATAATATGAAGTATTTAATATTGGATTATTTAAACAATGCAAATACGTATATTACATCTAACATCAAAAATCAAGTAAGAATCAAAGATATATTAAATAATCAAACTTCTATAAAATATTTTTTTTTAAAAAGATTCATTATGTCTATATATCTGCACAATCATACATGAAATATATAAAAGTATCACATACATTTTATAATTCACTAAATTTTTTTCGTAAGAGTTAAATGAATAAAATGATTTTTACGCAAACATCTTATACTTTTTCTGTTTTCTTTTTTCCTGCTAATTTGATTGTTTTGCGTCGTAACATCATAGAAATGAAATGAACTGCATTCGTTTTGCACGGTTTTAGTTGATCCTCGATTTCATACTAATTTGATATTTTTGGGTTCCAAATAAATGAATCGTGTTTGAGAGTCTAGACCGAAATCTAGAAGCAGAATTTTCAAATTGACTTCGGCAATTTATCACAGAGACAGAATAGGGGATCATATCGCGCCCTTTCTGATCGAACTACAAAGAACAATAATAAAAATAAACACAAAAAAGTCTTTAAAGTCAATCACACAATTACGTAGATAAGAAAACCATCCTAAAACATAAAATCATTTATAAAAGACAAAAGTGCTGAATGATCAATAGACTTCGTACACAAGGCTTACAAAACCGAAAAATACGACGGTCCAAATTCAGTTCTGTGTTGTCTTTTTCAACAGACAAATGAAAATGATTTGTTATCAGCTCTATGATCATGTCCTACTAGATGAACTTGACATCCATATTAGTGAGCACAAAACCATTATCTGTCTCACATTTTTCTACCATAATCAACCTTCTTCCGAAGCCTTTCATATGATCGAAATGTGTTTCTTATTTGAAGTTGCAATATGCATCTACTTTCATCTGGTGCCACAAACTATTGTTTTCGGTTTTTCATACCTGATTGAGGTCCATCTCTAGTCGAAAGATGGAGTTAAAGCGGCTTGAATATCTAGATATGTTTCTTCGTGAATTCGAAAATGTGTATTTCGACAAAAGACGGACCGTTGAGAATCTCTACATGAGGATATAAAATTTTTCAACCAAAATATTATATTATTTGCTGATGAATTTATCGATAAAAAATAAAATGGAAAAATAATGGAATAAACAACAATATTTGATACATTAGTCCTTTTTAGAGGTGTAAGCCGATGAGCTGACCGGCGGCGGCGCCATTAAAAAAAATTTTTTTTCAAAAGCTCGGCGGCGCAGATTTGAATTACTGGGGCTGCACGGCGGCGGCGGCTCGAAAGTCATTTTTTTCCTATCGCCGACGGCGGCGGCGGCTTAAAGTCCTTCTTCGTTCGGCGGCGGCGGCTGGAGGTTTAGAAAAAGTACTATAGCAGTCTATGGGAAAGTTTTTGGGCAACATATTTGTTCATTTTTGACTCTTCTAAAAGTATTTTAGTCGAGTGAACAACTAGTGCTAAGGACCAGAATTTTGTGCTCTTTCCAAATATGGGCTGAATTGGTGTACCTATTCTCGCTCGAGAGCAGTGAGGAGACCTTTCAAAGATCTAAAAAAAAACAGTTTGGACGGAAAATTTCTTCGCACATCTTCATATGCTTGCTACTGATATTCAAAACTAAATGCTGAATCTTTTGTTCACATGTCAGCGTGAACAAAGTTTGTTCTACAAAATATGACATTTGAGTTAATTTTTTTCTGACAAAATACTTACATTGTTGTTCAGTTGCATTGTCGAAAAATCAATTTTTTCATCAGAATTCGATTCTGATAGATGTAGTTCTTGCAAAAACAGTCATATTTTTATATGCGTAAAGGGTACATTTTAGTTCGCCATAACATTTTATAAAGAATTATTCGTCCTACAACATTTAGAAGATGAACCATTTTTAGCGCTTTTCTAAAGAAACATACGAAGATCACAAAAACTTTTTTATTTGCCACTGACATAACTTTTTCAGAACATTCAAAGACCTCCTCACTACTCTATGACAAGAACAGATACACAATCCCTCAGACTATATTCGGATAGAGCACAGAATTCTAGTCCTAATCTAAAGTTTTTCATTCATCTAGAACACTTAAGCCAATAAAATCTGAACAAAATATTGTCGAGAAACTTTTGAATAATTGATGTGTCCAAACTGTGTTTTTAGACCTTTCAGAGATCTCCTTACTTATTCTGGAGCAACAATAGGTACACAATTTATGAGCCTATATCTGGAAAGACCACATCATTCTGGTCATAATCACTCTTTTTTCACTCGACTAGAATACTTTTATAAGAGAAAAAAATGAACAAATACTTTGTCCAAAAACGTTTTCGTAGACCGTTAAATGATTTTTCACATTTCCTGTACCACTTATATTGCTATAAATACCAATAAAATTTTTAATTGAAAAAAGTAATATCAGCTTGATCGTTTTTCAATTTGTGAAACCAAATTTTGCAATAAACATGTTAATTATCGGCTAACTAATTCGGTTTTTTTGTACAAATAACCGAAATGGTTCCAGACGAACGATGGTTTTGGTAGATTAGGTAGGTTCATCTCGATAAAAAAGTTTTTGTTTACACAATATATATTTGTCATTTCAACTGCAAGATGAACCTAAAAGTGAACAAAACAAACAGAATTATTTATTTATCAATAAGCAGCACCTACAAATTTCTGAAAATTGAAAAAGCAACACCAAAAATAATGATAAATAAAAATTACCAAAATCATCAATACATAGTAAGACCATCAAACTTTGAGTAGGAAATATAACTTGAATTGCTACTGAATAAAACGGAATCACTAGGATTATTAATAAGTGAAAAAAATAATACAACCACTGAGAATACAAATAAATGAAAAATAAATATAACCACCAGGATACATAGTGGATGAAAAACCGTCACCGAGTTTGTTAATAAGTAGAACGACGTAGCACACACAAGTCTGTTGCTTGATTTTGTTTTTATTAATCGAAACTTATAATACTGGTCTTTACTTATACATAATGTTATAGACATTAACAAGTGAAATGATTACTTGAAACTTTTAACCCATACAAAATTAAGGAAAAAATGATTAAAAAGTTGTCGATGTTTATGAACGGTGTCGGCGGCGGCGGCTCAAAAATTTGAAAATTCTGAATGCCCTCGGCGGCGCGGCGGCTGGAACTAAAGTGTCTCAGCGGCGGCGGCTTATAAATTTTTAAAATTTCGACCGTCACGGCGGCGGCGGCTTAAAATTTTTCCCGTTAATCGGCGGCTGCGGCGGCTCAGCCGCACGGCTTACACCTCTATTTATATCCATGTAAATAGCGATACATTCGTATATAATTAAAACGCAACGAAAAACAAAGAACTATTATTCATTTAAAAATAAAAGAAGAGTGAATATTTTTGTGATCACTTTTGATAGGAACAAGATAGAGATCTACAATTCTCACTTTTTAAAGCATGAGATGAAACTGTATCGATACATATATATCAAACTTTCCTGGCCAGTTTCCTAAGGGTTTGTCACTCAATTTATCTGAAAACAACCATGTTATAGTATAAACTTTTTATGATTTTAATTTTCACGAGTGCACTAAGATCATCTACTAGACATCTATAAATTATGTAAGTTCGGTGTTGTAGGGTTAAGGCAATCATGAGTTAATGAAAAATT